TCTTGTTGGAGGAAGTGTGTCACTGGGGGGAGGGTGTTGGGGTTTCAAATGCTCAAGCCAGACCCAGTGCCTCTCTCTGTCTGCTGCTCTAGATGTAGAACTCTTAATTAACTCTCTCCAGCACCATGCCTGCCTAAATGCCACCATGCCCCCTGCCATGATGATAATGGACTAAACCTCTGAAGCTGTAAGCAAGCCCCAGTTAAATGTTTTCCTTCATAAGAGTTGCCATGGTCATGGTGTCTCTTACAGCAATAGAACTTTGGCTAAGACACTGACATATCAGTCTTCCAATGCTGTCTTCCAATAATCCCCAGACTTGCCACTCACCCACTATTTCTTGTAGGTCTTTTATCTCTTGTATTCCACATCATCAGTTTCATTCAAGAATAGCATGTTATAAGCAAATCATCATTCTCTCCAGCGGGTCATTTCTGAGTTGCTGATTTGATTGGTATTATTCTGAAGGGCCAGGTCATACAGAAGCTGTGCTCTGGTGACCTCAACTGTATTGTATATTCCATTATTCATGAAGCTTTGCTAGCAGCCTGTGCACACAGATCAGTCTGAAATGGTATTAAGTAGCCATTTTTTGAGTTGAAGTATTCAATCCTGGAGGGAAGCTCCTGAAGACTAGCAAAGTTCTGAAAGGAATCTCAATAAGACTGAGGCAATCAAGAAGGGAGTTTCTTATGATCCAGGAAGTAGATAACTCATAAGTCTCAGGAAGTCCCTCAAATTGAGCAGATTCACAAAAATCCCTCCTTCCTTGAGCTTATAGAAATAGGAGGGACTGAGGAGACTTAGCCTAGCCTAGAGCATGGTAGAGACTTTCTACCCTGCTGCCTTGCCTGCAAGTTCTGTAGAAGGCTTCAGGAATGCAACTTCCTCACATTGTCACCCATGTTCAGGTACCTTTCAGTGATTAGCCTGCCTTTGAGTTATCCCTGCTCCTGTACATAACCTCTCACCACACTCCTTGGAATAATATCAATACACTCATGGGTTACCAAATTGGACTTCAATAGTATGGTTCCTTTGGCTGATCATTGATTCCCTATCTGGGGTGATTACACATTTATCACTGTCTTTCCAGGAATGGTGTCACTCAATATCAGCACAGCAATCAAGAAGACTGTCTTCCCCACAAGCCCTCTACCACATACAAAGTCACCACAATGCTCAAGCCAGGAAGACACAGAAACATCAGTGTCCTTTTCACCAGGTGCCATATATTGCTCTACATATTATAAACTTCAGACAGAAATTGTCCATCCTCCTGGCCTAAGTTCACAATGTCCATGGCTGGTGGGAGTGAGCTAGAGATGGGTAGTTTGTAGGGACTAGCTTGCCTTCCACCCTATGAATGAATTTACACAAACTCACCAGCATTCTAAAATCAATGCATGTTTATTTCAACATGCTAGCACTGCATGGAATTAATGAGTGCACGTTAAAATAATCAACCCTCTTTGGAGTATTTTAGACCAGGCACTTTGTGAGGCGACCCAGAAGAAACTTCTGCACAGTGAGGCATGACCCTATTTTCCACATAGCTATTCCTAAAAAGTGCTTCTATTAGGAAAGTGTTTGAGATAGCACCATTCGGAAGCCATTAGGGGACACTTTGACAAAGTGAAATGTCCCTGCTCAATGTAGGCACAATTTCTTAGTTTCTCCTGCACTGACCTTACTGTAGCTTTTGGTTTAAGGCAAGCTGTGTCATCCTTGCTTCTGGATAAAGATGCACCCATGCTAAGAGCTTCATCTCCCATTTTCTGACTCTGTCTTGTCATGGGATGAGTGTCCCCAAAGAGCCTGCTAAGTGAAAAAACACCAGGAGGTTCCATCTGTGATCTCAAGATGTGCTATTTCCCTGTGCAGATAAGCATCCAATTCCCAAGCATCCCGGGTGCTACAGGCTACCTGTCCACATATAGACAGAGCACTCACAACTGCAGACACTTTTCTTCCCATCTAACCTCCCTCCCAAACCATGTCTTTATAGGGAAGGAAGCAAAGGGAAACAGCTGAAAACATCCTGGTCACTCATTTTCCTCTGTTCTGGGCTAAGGAGGCAAAGAATGCTGTTAGGAGAAGCTGAAGAACTGTCTAGAAGCTATCGTCAACCTAGAGCAAGTGGAGGAATCCTGAAAGTGGAGCTCCACGGAGTATTTAGAGGCTGTTAATTCTGATTTGGTTCATCACAAACCCCACGGAATGGCCCAGGAGGACAGGAAAGGTGAAGAGATCCCAGAGGGCATGCTTCTTGTTGTGCATACTTAGGGCTCAGAGTAACCAAGTAGCTCTGAATCAAAGATCCACCCTGCAGAGGGCATCTGTCAGTGCCTAGAAACATTCTGGTTGCCAACTTAGAGAGGAATGACGGTCTTCTGTCATCCAATGAGCAGTAAGCCAGGGATACTGTTCAACACTGGCAACCCCCATACAACAAAGAATAATCTAGAAAACATCAACAGGGCCAAGGTTCAAAGGCTTGGGACTAAACCAAAGCTTAGCATCAAGAGTTCTGTTTAAGTAGCTCAGTTGGCAAAATGATTGTCTAGGAAGCACTGGCGCCTGAGTTCAATCCCCAGAACTCACATGAAAATGCAGGGTGTGGTGTTACCTGTCCAAGCATTGGAGAGGTGGCAACAGGCAGTTTCAGGGGCTTTCTGGCCAATCAGCCTAGACTACTCAGCAAATTCCATGTTTGTGAGAGACTGTCTCAAAACAAAACAAAACAAAGGAAAAAAAAAAAAAAAACCACAAGCAGACAGCACTTAAAAAATGACACCCACCCAAGGTTGTCTTTTGCCCTATGTGTACCTGTGCATGCATGTGTGTGCATACACAACACACACACACACACACACACACTTCACTTTGTAAATCACTGTCTCTTCTAGTTTGTTGAGTTCATTTATTAGACAACAAACTAAGCAGTGAACTGGGGCCCACGGATGGATATGCCTCTGTGTTATTATTTTCAGAGTTGGGTAGAATTGGCAAACAGCAGAGCTCTGCCCTAAAACCTCTTCTGCTGCATGAATAAAACATTAGTGCCTCTAAATTTAAACTTAAAGCCAATTAATTCATCAAAATGTCACTTGTCACCTAAAGCATTTTAGTAGTGAGGAAATACCTTGGAAAAACAAAGAATCCTCACAGGGAGAGAGGGAATGAGTGAGAATTTTGTCCACATGGCAAGAACCTCTGCAGCTTTACCTATTCTGCTTATTTCTTCAGAGAATCCCTGGAAAATGGTTTTTAAGAATATTTTTAGTGGCACAAGTGACTCCCTCTCTATGTGGCCTTTCCTGTGTCTTACTATAAAGTATGTTCAGCACAATTATCATGCCAAAAAGCTGCTCACCAGCCCCCAAAGTCACAAACCTCCACCATGGTTTTCACAGAGTGCGTAGAGCCAGGGACACATGCAGCCATAAAAATAAACCTTATTATGACTTCAGGGGCTGAGAGATGACTTCTCAAAGCCTGTAATTCATAGCATTGCCTTTAGTTATAAGAAAGAGAATGTAGACACGAAACATAGAACATCTATTTTCTAACAGAAGTTCCCAAAGTGGGAAGACAGGATCCTCTCCACAGCCCCAGGAAAGTCTGAAAGCAGGAAGGCAGGATCCCCTCCACAGCCTCAGGAAAGTCTGAAAGCAGGGAGACAGGATCCTCTCCACAGCCCCAGGAAAGTCTGAAAGGCTCGACTTCTTGTTACTTTGTGCTGAGTGACCTTCAGTAACAGAGAAGTCTCTTCTGCAATGGAAAGCCAATTCAGGCAACAATCCTAGCAGCAGAACCAGAGGCAGAGAAGGCATGGGAGCACCAGAAAGACTTATAGTGAGTTATGCACAATCTTCATGGATTTTTAAGGTCAAATCAGGCCATTGAAACCAAGCACTCAAACCCTGCACTTTTTATTGCAAGTAACAAAATGAACAAGTCCACAGCCAAGTGCTTGTACTAGAAAGTGTTAAGAATAATATAAGTAGAGACACACTCTTACTGGTGAATATTACTAAATTATAGAACAAATGTTTAGTGTTTCCCCCCTAAAAAAATACATTCTGTTGTAATTCCCATCAATAAAAGGTTAAAAAATCATTCAGAATTGTCAAGCTGTTAGTCTAGACTTTCTTACAAATGAATGACTCATGCTCACTTCTTAAACCCACTGAGGGGGCAAGTTGTAATCTTTTTGCAGTGTCTAACTACAAAGGTATGACACAGATCCTGATAATATCTCAAACAGTATCTTGTGTTTGTTTCAAAGATCTCTCTCTCTCTCTCTCTCTCTCTCTCTCTCTCTCTCTCTCTCTCTCTCTCTCTCTCAAAGAAAACAAAATAAATGGCCACCACTGAGTCCTGCCCCCACAGGTAATGGCTCAACATAGCAGCCAAGGTCAGCAGCTGATGCCCAGGGTAAATCTGAGTTACCCCACCTGGCCCAAAGAAGCAATCACTCATCTTTAAATATCTAGAAAGATCCAAATAAAATCCTCACATTTACAAACCATACAATCCTTAAGCAAAGAAACAGAGCTAGGTCCAACGAATCTCCATCATTTTTATCTAAGAGACACAGTTAAAATCCAGGCTGCCAAAGCTTGAGTTCTCCTAAACTAAGGGCACCAGGATCCAATCAGAGCCCTACTCAGACAAGGACTTGGATTCTCTGAAGCATTTCTCATGGACAGCGACAACAGGCGCTCCCTCAGAATCACTTAGAAGTGGACAAGTGTCTTGGGGGTGGTGGTGGTAAAGGTATTGTGTTTGGGAAGCAGAAAGTAGAGTGAATGTAATAGAAAGCCCCCCCTCCACTGCCTTCAGGGCAGAAAAACTGCCTCCAGGCCTCTTTATTGAAGTTGCCAATCCGCGAGCAGGAGGGAGGGTGCAATGATCCTTCCCTCTGCACTTCCCTTGCTGCTGAGTCTCTGGCAGGGAAACCACCAGTGTGCAGGGAAATTAAGTGGGGGTCTTACTTTTGTAGCTCGTCGCCCAGGGCTGGTAGCCATAGTAGCCTGTGATGCGCAGAATCCGTTCCTCGATGGACGTGAGTCCCACTGGCCCGCTAGTGAGGTCCTCCACGGATCGCGACCATTTCAGATCCTCCTTGATCGCCTCGTCCACCACCAAGTACTTAAGCTGCCTGAGCTGAGGACTGATGTCGGACAGTCTCCGCGGGCTGACGTCCGGTGACCTCCTCATGCCACTGAGGCCGCGGGAAGGCGGGATGAGTCAAGGGCAGAGAGGGGGAGATGGCAGTGAGGACCGGTGAGGACCCATGGCTGCTCCCCTCCTGCTGCTTGACCTTGCCCTGCTCCCCGGAAACTCCTCGTTGGGTACCGGGCCCTCCCCTGGGCACCTCGGGCAACGTGAGTAGGGGCGAGTGGCCTGGAGATGATGCTGAAACTTCCCTGGCTCCATCGCACAGTCCGTCCCTCCCTCCCTCCTTCCCCGAGCGTGGCTGTGCGGGCTGAGCAGGGTCGCAGATGCCGGGGGCCACCTGCCCACAGCCCTCCCACTCCTGCTGCGCTACTCACACAGCGATGCTCTTGGCCCTGGGAGCGCTGCCTGGAAACTCTCGAATACCCATGGGCGGCAGCAGCGAGTGGCCCCTGGCGCCCAGAGTGGAGCGGGAGGAGCAGCGGCCCGAGCTCCTCGCAGCGGTTGCCAGGGTCCGGAAGCCCGTGAGTCACCCGCGCGGCTCAGCCGGGCTACTCCAGGCGGGTCCCCGTCGCCGGCTGCTGGGAGCCGGTGGCAGAGAAGCGCCGCGCCCCCCGCCTGTCACCGCCGGCGCCTTAGCAGGCACGATCGCGGACGCCCAAGCTCCGGAGAGCGCGCCGGGTAGTGCGCTCAGGAGCCACCGGGGCGGGCGTGAGGCGTGGACCAGGCGGGGGCGCGCGTCCCGATCCCTGCCACCTGGAGTGTACCGGGTTTCGGGCTCCTAGTTTTGCAACCTTAGGGTGCTGGACTTGTCTGGGTCCTAGCGTTCTAGATTTGACACGTGAATCTCAGTCTTTCCCCACACCCACCCCAACACACACACCATATCAAAGAGCAGTGTTACTCCGAAAGCAAAAAAGCAAACTAACCTGGCGTTTGACAGTGCAAACTAAGTGGCAGATTGGACGAGGTGGTGGTTGCTAGGTCAGGCAGGTTCCTCAGTTCACAGGCTCAAGGATAAGACCACTACTGCTTCTATTCTCTCTGCAGAGACCTTCATCCTAGTTAGCCTCCAATCAGTTTTTGTTCCAGGCTCCCAAGCCATTCCAGACTACCAAATCATCTTCCATACTGCTTTTCTGCACTGATTGCAATTTTAGGAAATACACAGATCTACAGAGAAGAAAATAGCTTTATCAAGTCCAAAAGACTACATTGAAATAATTAGACTCTACTCCAGTATTATTTTAAATGTAAGATACATTCCCCCAAGAGAGCAAAGTGCAAGTTGTACTTTATGTATTGATTTAAGAAAAGATGTATTGTTCCTCGGTGAACTGGGAATAAAAGGGAGCTAAGTTCCTCAACTTGATAAAAAGAATTTACCGAGACTTGCTGCTAGCAGGTAAGAAACTGCAACTTTTCTGATAAGAGGCCACCAAGGGGTATCCTTGCTGTACCTCCATAGCATCCTACTGGGAGTTCTAGCCAATTAAATTACTCAAAAGGAATATAATGATGTCATTTAGGATGAAGAAAAAGAAAAATGAAATTGTTTTTGCAGGTGACAGCACAGCTGATGTGGAAAGTCTCAGAATTGATTGGCGATTTGATGTGAATTAAAATCACCATGGGAGCAAACCTTTGGGAATGTCTACGTGGGAGTTTCTAGGTATGGGCAGCATCAATCCATGATGGACTGAATGTATTTTTTAACTGTGATCCTAACAAATGCTTCTTTGCAAAGTTGTTTTTGTCTTTTTTTTTTTAAAGGCTAAAAGAGTCAAAGCTAATGTACAAAGCTTCACCCCTTTCCTGTATACTTACAATGTACAATTGGAATATGAAAGAAAAACAGTACTATTCACAGGACTCCTAAAATGTAAACTTGGTGATAGGTCTAATATTAAATATGTATAATATCTACATGAGGCAAGTTAAAAATTCAAGTGAAAGAAACAAAATTCAAAGTGAACAACATATTGACCAAGGTGCCTTTGAATCTCAATGCATACATATTCCTTTCTTTTAAGAATCTGCCTTCCCTTGGGTTTCTGGGTCAGTGACAGAAATGACCAGGTGGTGGCCCCATCTGGGTTCCTTGACACTTTATTCGTCTTTTAGTGATTTCAGTGTTGAGACCAGGATAATGACAGCCAGACAGTCCAGAAACTATAGTCATTACCTGAAGGAGGTCAGGAGTTTAACATTTTCTATTCATAATAAGACCTCAATGAACACACTCAATGAGCACAGTGTTGTGAGTCAGCCTAATCAATGTCATCGCAATACAAAAGATAATCTGCATATATGTTTCTACAGCCTCTTAAAAATAGAAGATATATTTATTGTTTTCCTTATGTGTGTATTTGTCTACATGTATGTAAATGCATCACATGCATACTGTGCCCAAGGAGGCCAGAAGGCCCCAGATCCTTTGGGGTTGGAGTTACTGACATTTCTCAGTTGCCATGTGGGCACTGGGTATAAAACTCAGACTCTCTACAAGCACAGCAAGTGCTATTGGCCATTGGAGCTGTTACTCCAATACTCTATAGCTTATTCTTTGTACCAATAAATAAACCTCATAAACTTTTATATATTGCTTTATTGAGATATACTTTTTTCAACACGAGAATTGACTTGTTTTTCTGAAAATGTCCAGTGCGCCTGAAATATTTAGAATATTTAGTTGAATGTTCATTTTAAAATTGAACTATGTAAACTTTTACTGAGGGCAGGGCATGTGCTGGGGTCTTGGAAAGAAGCTAGAAGCACCAATAAGACAAATGTTTTCTCCCCCACCCCATGCCCCATTGAGCCTGCAGCAAGATAAACAAACAAGTGAAGACTGGCCCTTGTGGGCCTTGATTCTTGCATGTAGAATCTCTAGAAGCTGAAGGACATGATTCCAAGTCATCATCCTTACTTGGGAGAGGAGGAGGCCTGGATCAAAGGTATGATAGAGAGGTTTTCTTAGGTGAGAAACCAAACTAATTTTGAAAACTGTAAATTTGTCTGTAGATGCAAACGGAAGTTGGAGGAGAATAGGAAGAAGGTGTAGAGAAAGAAGAGCAGGGGAGGAAGCCAAGAGGAAGAGGAGGGGGAGGAGCAAAGTGGAGGACATTGGAGAAGAAACATGCATTGGCTGGAAAGTGGGCCAGGACCCTGTTGGGAGAGTGTGACAGAATTGTCAACTTCACAAAATCTAGTCCCCTGGGAGAAGGGGCCCTAGACAGACCGGGGGGGGGTTGCCTGGATTTTGTTAAGATGTGAAGAAGACCTGTCCATGGAGAGTAGTGACATTCCCTAGGTGGGACCCTGAGCTGAACAGATGGGGAGAGGGAGCCGAGCAGCATTCATTCATTGCTCTCTGCTTCCTGACGATCTGTGAGCTAAAATAAACCATTTCCTCTGAAGTTACTTACCATTGTCAGTATTTTATCACAGCAACTGGAAAGGAGCAAAGACAGAAGATACAGTGTTACAGTAGGAAGTGGCATGGGCAAGGTGTCCTTACAAAAGGGCTTAGTAAACCAAGATCCTCACTTCCCAGAATCCTCACTGGTTTCTTCCTACCTCCTTATCCAAAATAATCCTCTCAAAGGCCAAAAGACCCCTCTTCTGTGGAAAACTTGCAATTGTTGCTTTCTTTAAATCCTTAGCCTTGCCTAACCCACTTGCTCTTGTCTTTCATTCTGCAGCTCTCTCCATCCCTCCATCCTTCTGCTTCTCAGAGTCCCTGGACTCTAGCCTTCAGAACAAAATACACGATGTCATGCCATCTCTGCCCGGAAAGTTAGTGGCGTAGCTCACCTCTATGACCTTGTGATACCCTCACATACCTCACATTTACTCAGAGGCCCTCACTCCAGGAAGCTTTCTCTGGCCCTGATAGAGTGGACTAGTTCCTTCTAACACAATCCTTTAATACTCTATTGTGGCCTTTATAGCCCTTTGTTGGTGCTTTATGACAAGTTAATTTACAGGGTTATTTGATTAATGTCTGTCTCCTCCACTCAGCTAAAAATTCTATGAGGCCAAGATTCCTCTGCCTTCCTCATGACCTTCATATCTATCATAATGTCTATGTAGGCACTGCTCGTAAAAACATTTCTTAAATAAATGAGCAAAGGGGAAAACAGAGTGAAGCAATTTGAACAATAAGATGTGTGAGGGGTAGAAGGGACATGATTTACACAATTTATTTAGACTTTCTGATCCCATCAGTTTGCATTTCTAGGCTAACATTGATTTGCCTTCAAAAGGTTGGCAGGGACAGACTTCTAACTTCTCCATAGCTTATCAATTTGGGGACTCTTACTCCAGCCCTCCTCCAAACCTTTTTTCTCAGCCCAGACAGTGTACATAGCAACCAAATGCCCTGTTTCCTGAGCCAGTTGTGACATCAAATGTTTTCTATTCTCAAAAAGTACAACCTCAGTGTTAGATAGTGTGTCCCAGTTTTGCTATAAAAACATAGTTGTGATATGCATCTCTGATTTGCCTAAAGAGATTTTTCCCTCTGATGTGCTTAAGGAAAATTTTCACATTATGATGGATGGGTGGATGGGCTGATGAGTGACAAATTAATAATACACACTTACCCAGGTGTATAGGTAGATGATAGAGAAGTAGATGGATACTCACACATGATGTGTTTTGTTTACTTTCTTCAATGAGTGGTAGTCTCCTTTAGAGACCATGACTTTCATTTCTGTTCCAATTCATGTAGCACTCAAGCATAAGGGAATTCTGTTGGATTCTCCAATATCATGTGGAATGCTGTGAGTTTCTGACATGGTGCAGTTTTTGTTAGGGAAGTAAGATTTATTGAGACCATGCCGACTAGCTGCAATAGGTATCTTTAGCTGTGATCAGACCATGACTATAGCAACAACAATGCCACATGTGGGCTGGGGCAAAAGCCCAATCACTGAGTTCAATGCACAGAACTCGTGTGTGTGTGTATGTGTGTGTATGTGTGTGTGTGTGTGTGTGTGTGTGTGTAAAAATTTGCAGCATTGTGGTTCATGATTATAAGCCCAGTGGGAAGGTATAGATAGACAGATCCCAGGCACACAATAGTCAGCTAGCCCAGCTTCCTTGGCAAGTTCCAAGCCAGAGTTCTCTCTCCTGACTCAAAAAGAAAATAATGGAGCATGTTAGGAAGGATACTTGAGGATGTTCTCTGAACTACACATGTGCAAACCTGTAAACACACACACACACACACACACACACACACACACACACACACACACACAAACCAGAGAAAGAGAAGGAAAAGCAACCCTTTACCACATGCCTTTATCTCTTGTGGGCTAGCTCCTAGATCCAAAGAATAAAGGATAGGATGGCAAAGGCTCTGATATTGGGCAGTCAGCTTTCTATGGTTATGATCCTCTAACTCCACCAGACTTTCAGGAGTTGCCTTTAAATGGAGAGAGGGAGTATATAGACAAGGAAACAAACAAGGATGGCAGACATGAAGTCACATCTATGCAAGATTTTGGTGCATAGTTAATGACACATAGATCCCA